CAGTTGCGATTTAAAACCACTGAAAATATTTCTAATAAAGTTCTAGTGTCAGGCGTGGCATTATAGCAGAAACTATAATGCTCCATCTGTGAGAGAAAAACTGTAAGGCTTGTCTTCAACATTCAGACATCAATTCTGATAGCTTCACAAGACAGACACGGTAAAAAATAAATAAAAGAATAGACATGCTTGTCTATATATTTTTCTTATTTCCTGAGGCAACTCTTTCCGCTGCTTCTTCTGGCCCAGTTGAGTATGGTGCACACCATGTCACCAAAACACACACACAGTGACTACCTATATAGGCCCACAGACTGATTACAAGGTTGTAGACACATGTGGTGCTACTTAGTGGACACACCTTGAATTAACATGTCCCTTTGGTCACATTTTTAGTCTTTCCTTGGGGTACCACCTTCTTTGTTCAGCCCTGTTCTGAGTTTTTTTTTTTTTATTTCGTGGTTGAAAAGCAATGTCGGACTTCAGTTGGTTAAATTTCATAGAATTTTTATTTATTATTAAGTTTGCCAGATTCAAGTTATTTCTGGTACAATTGTGGGTTTTTCTTTCATTGAATGAAGGTGTATTAATTTATTATTAAGTTTGCCAGATTCAAGTTATTTCTGGTACAATTGTGGGTTTTTCTTTCATTGAATGAAGGTGTAGAGTGACTCTTTAAAGGGTACCAACTAGGGATGCTCCAATCAGGTTTTAATCTGCCGATCACCGATAACGATCAGCCAAGAGGCCGATCATGGCCGATCAGCCGATTTCCGATACCAATTACATAGATTGGCTGTAAATTGTTCATTTAGCTATGGTGAGTTCTAATGCATGTGTTACATATTAATTCAGAAAAAACATGGTTTTACTTCACTTCAAATTGCTCTCTTTAGGCTACAAATAGTGCAAAACAGTCAATATCTCACATCACCGCCTAAATCAAATTAAGTAACCATGGATACATTCAGATACAGCCAGTGAGCTGTTAAGCTCAGCATTGACACAGGACTGACATCTGAGCTCCAAATGTCACTTGTGAAACTCACAGAGGATGAGACGCTTTCTTTAAGGAGTCCCTCGATGAAAGAATACACTGTCTGGTGGAGCTCTGGAAGGGCTACGTCGGCAAAATATTTACGTCCCGGTAGCATGTAGCGAGATTCCAAGTGGGTTAGTAGTCGGCGGAATCCGGCGTCTTCCACAACTGAAAAAGGCTGGTCGTCAAGTCCAATAAACTCGATGATTTTACGGGTAATTTGCTTAGCCTTTTGACTGTCACGCTCATATGGGCGAGTGTTGCCGAGCGTCGGCTGCGTTAGCTGCCGTCTGACTGTGGCTGCATTAGCAGGCTTCTTTTCATTGTCTGCAGTAAGCCTAAAAAACTCACCATGCTCCGCCAAGTGTTTAGTCTTTAAATGTCGGATCAAATTCGTTGTGTTGAATTTTTTTGAAGTGCTTCCTCCGCGGGGTATGTTTTCGTTGCAAGTGTTGCAAGACGCAAACTTAATATCACTCTCGCACACCGTAAAGAAGTTCCACACGGCAGACATGTTTGTCTTTGCGGGTTTGCCGCCACGCGCATGCGCACTAAGCGGGTAGAAGCGGAAGGGTGAACTACCGGCCGGGAAGAGTAAGCACCAGTGCCAGATCGGAAATGAAAGGCAGTGATCGGCGATCACAGATCACACACTTTTGCAGGAAAATCGGCCGATAATTATCTGTGGCCGATCAATCGGAGCACCCCTAGTACCAACAATTTTGTTCACATCTGTATTTCATTAATTCAACTTAGACTGAAAGACCATGTAAAGGCCTTCAGAAGTGTTTTGAGATTTAGAGAGTGTGACACTTTGAGCCAAAAATATTGAATATTTTCACAATATTCTAATTGTCTGTGATTTAGAATTTGGGGTTTTCATAAGATGCAAGCCATAACCATCAAAACTCTAACAAAGGCTAGAAATATCTCACTTTGCATTTAATGAGTCTCTCATATATTAGTTCCACATTTTAGGTTGAATTACTGACAGAAAAAACGTTTGCACAATGTTCAAATTTTTGGAGTTTCATCTACACGCACCTAAAGGATTATTAGGAACACCATACTAATACGGTGTTTGAACCCCTTTCACCTTCAAACTGCCTTAATTCTACGTGGCATTGATTCAACAAGGTGTTGAAAGCATTCTTTAGAAATATTTGCCCATATTGATAGGATAGCATCTTGCAGTTGATGAAGATTTGTGGGATGCACATCCAGGGCACGAAGCTCCGGAACCACCACATCCCAAAGATGCTCAATTGGATTGAGATATAGTGACTGTGGGTTCTGGTGAGATCTGGTGACTGCGGCTTTATGAAATGGTGCATTATCCTGCTGGAAGTAGCCATCAGAGAATGGGTACATGGTGATCATGAAGGGATGGATATGGTCAGAAACAATGCTCAGGAAGCCCGTGGCTAGGGCTGCAACAACGAATCGATAAATTCGATGAAAATCGATTACTAAAAGCGTTGGCAACGAATTGCGTCATCGATTCGTTGTGTTGCGCAACTCTTCCAAAAGCCCCCTCCCCTCCTGCCCGCCGTTGCGCGCAGACCGGTGGAGAGCCGGCAGGTGTTTGTAAGAGGAACATGGCAGAAGCAGCGAGACCCCAAAAAAGTAAAAACTTCTAAAGTTTGGGAGCATTTTCAGTTAAATCAGGCGAAGACATGCAACGTTTGTAGGTCAGACTTAGCATGGCACGGGGATACTACGGTGATGATGCAGCGTCTTAAACGCAAGCATGTCAGAATCATCAGCGAGGAAGGAGAGAGCTCGGTGTCCGGGTAAGTAAAAAACTTTTCAAAAGTGATTCACCCAAGCCCCGGATTATTACAGGCTAGACATGCCCTAAGCTCGTAAAAAAAGTCTATAAAATTGTAAGCGCGACGCTATTAGATAGGCGGGGGGGGGGGGGACTCGCGCCGCTGCGAACCGGTTCCGCCGTCACATTCCCGCAGAAACTGGTTGATCACACCGGGGCCAGACTGCTAACATGTGGCTTTACAACCTCGGTGTCCTCACAAGCGAAAACGCTTTTAAAAGGGAGGGAGGAGTCCTAACTGTTGCTGCAGGCGTGTTGTGTGCGTGTAGTTATATACTGGTTAATATATTTTTGGGTTCAGTTGCTTTCATGTGTCCTAATGTGAGTCTATTTGGGATCATTGGAATGATCAGCAGCATCTCTTGATGTGACTTTAAGGCAGTTGCCCAGGGCATCATCACAAGGAGGATGGCATTCATTTACTTTTGTTTTATTTGGTATTTTTCAGTCATTTTTGGAAATAGTGATTAATTCACAGCCTATGTTTAATTTCATTTAAAAATTAGTTGTTTGACATCCACAATTATAATAAATGTCTACAGATGAGATCAAACAAAACAGATGAGAATTGCCCTTAAAGAGCAAGTCACCCCCAAATAAACTTTTTTTTGCTGATAAACTAAATAAACGAGTGTCTAATCGTGCTGCAGACACATGTCGTCAATAATTTGGCACTTCAGTGCATCTTAGTTAAAATTTAAATATTCTGCCTAAAACTGGCAGTGTTGTGCCGTTGTCAGGTAAAAACTCTGCACTGTATTTTAATTTAAATCTGCCACCGCTATTGGCTAAGAAGTATGCTATGATGTAAACTGGTACATTATGATGTCACAATGCTGTCGTGAGCCTGAGTGTGTGTGTATTTGTTAGCGGCTCCGCCCTCTCGGTCTGCCAGGCAACAGCATGTGTTGCATTTTTCAAACATGAAGCGGGAGTGGAGTTAGACTCTGGTAGGGGTTGACTTGCTCTTTAAGCTGTTTAACTTGGACCAAGCATTTTAGGTCACAGATAGGTGTAGCTTAAGGTCTCTGTCTATACACCTTATAAGACAATTTAGGTGATGGCATGTTGGTTTTCTGCTATTGAACTGTTTTCTAATAATGTTGTGTTTAAGTGAAGGAAGGAAGGAGAAAAATAACGTTTCCCTAGCAGTTTTAAAAAATGTCCCTATGTAATCCGATTAATCGATTAATAGTGTCGAGACCCCATCCGATTAATCGATTATCCAAATAATCGTTTGTTGCAGCCCTACCCGTGGCATTTAATGCTTAATTGGCACTAAGGGGCCTAAAGCGTGCCAAGCAAACATCCCCCACACCATTATACCACCAGCCTGCACAGTGGTAACAAGGTAGGATGGATCCATGTTTTCATTCTGTTTATGCCAAATTCTGACTCTACCTTTTGAATATCTCAACAGAAATCGAGACTCAGCAAACCAGGCAACATTTTTCCAGTCTTCAACTGTCCAATTTTGGTGAGCTTGTGCAAACTGTAGCATTTTTCCTATTTGTAGTGGAGATGAGTGGAACCCGGTGGGGCCTTCTGCTGTTGTAGCCCATCCGCCTCAAGGTTGTGCGTGTTGTGGCTTCACAAATGCTTTGCTGTATTCCTCGGTCGTAACGAGTGGTTATTTCAGTCAAAGTTGCTCTTCTATCAGCTTGAATCAGTCAGCCCAATCTCCTCTGACCTCTAGCATCAACAAGGCATTTTTGCCCACAGGACTGGATGTTTTTCCCTTTTCACACCATTCTTTGTAAAACCAAAAAATGGTTGTGCATGAAAAACCCAGTAACAGAACAGACTGTGAAATACTCAGACCGGCCCATCTGGCAGCAACAACCATGCCACGCTCAAATTTGTTTAAATCACCTTTCTTTCCCATTCTAACATTCAGTTTGGAGTTCAGGGGATTATCTTGACCAGGACCACACCCCTAAACGCATTGCAGCCACTGCTACGTGATTGGTTGAATAGATAATTGCATTAAGGAGAAGTTGAACAGGTGTTCCTAATAATCCTTTAGGTGAGTGTATATCAATCAGTATATATGGATTCTAACCCAATTTGTTAAATGGTGATACTCTACTTTTTGCACACTTTTGATTATTAATCAGTGAAATTATTCACCTTTTTTACCTGCTAAGGGAGGATGAAGACGTTGGGTTGTTGGAGGTTCAGGTGATTGAGGTTTAATCGGATGAACTATTGGAGGCTCAGGTGTTTGAGGTTTATCCTGGCCAAGAACATGAGAAGGAAGCATCACTTGTCCTCTTCCCAGCCCACCCATCATCTGAGGAGACAAACTTTGGCCAAAGAAAATGCAACATGTATGAGTGTCACTGTGTCCTGGGTTGAATGATGGTTTATTAAAAAACAAAATACAACATTTACTTTTTTGGCCCAAAATTTATAAAATATAATCTCATCTTAAAGGTCAAATATGTAAGAATAAAGCAAGAATGACATCCTGTGGTCAAATTTGGTTACCGCAGGCCATTTTCTAAGAAAAAGGTTACTCTCTCACTACCATTCCATAAGTTTTATGGCTGTTTCCAGTTACAAATAAGCACCAGAAAACTCTAGATGACAAACAATGATTCGCACACAGTAAGTTGTTAAGGAGATAAATACATTGTTATATTTAGTGTTAGCAAACCTAGGTGTTTTATAGGGATGAGCCGGATACTCGATAAAGCATTTTTGACGAATACAAGCATGAAACGAGTAAACTAGTAAATATCTGTAATCGTGCTGAAGGAAAATCCTCATTGGGTAACTGGCTGTCTTCACGCTCTGTGATTGGCCAGTCACATAGAGCGCCCGCCCCTCCCTACACACAAAACTCTCTAGCCGGCTGGGAGCGCAGTCTGTCCGGCTCATCCGCACACACACAAGACAGTAACGGATCTCGCTGTGATTGCTTCACTGTTGCTCACGTTTCTTCAGTTTTTCCTAGGTTTTCTTCAGCTCGTCTCTTTTTCGGTTGAATATTTAAAGTTACTTTTATCGTAACTTACATGGTGCATTTGACAAGACAGCTGACGTGCTGCATCAGTCACTCACTACCTCCGCTCCGGTCGGTTTTTTTTTTAAACTCCATCTCTCTCCCCCTCACCCTCTCTATCTCTCTCAGACACACACACCTTAATCAACATTGTTTTGTTTAACTTTGTGTGGGGCAAAATGCCAAGAACGTTAAGAAAAAAATCAGTTTAATCAAATTAAAATAAGAAAAATATACATAAAGTTGTGTCTGGTTCTAGCATTTCATATTTCCTAGTTCCTACTGCATGAGTTCAGATGTATTAATCCATGCACTTAAATATTAATGTTCTAATTTTATTGAAACACTTTTTCTGAAATAGTTCCTTTACTATTGTGATCAAAAATATTTAATCTCAATTTTGAGGCTGCTCTGTAAATAGTTTTCAAATTAACAATACACATATCAACTTCTGATCATTCCATATCAATTTCAGACTTAAAATAAAATATTGATGTAAACCACTTCCGGTTAAACCACGCTTACTTCCGGGTTATGCCACGCCCATTCCGAGTACAGATACAAATAATTTAGTTGGTTGAACAGATACAGATAGTGGTGTACTCTCTCATCCCTAGGGTTTTACAGTTGGGAGCACATGCCACACTTCAGTAATGCACGGCGTAAATGGTATAAGGTATAACTGGTATGATTTTGGCCTATGATATAGAATTTTATACTACCGTCTACCCCAGGGGTCGGCAACCCATGGCTCTGGAGCCGCACGCGGCTCTTCCATCCATCTGATGCGGCTCTCTATGCTTGTAAAATAATAAATGGATATTAAAATAAAATGCTTTATATTTTACTGCATTAATTTTATATCGGTATGCCAATTCTAAATTTAAAGATTGTCTGAGTAAACCTTAACAGGTCCAACCTGATCTTACTGTGAGACCGGGTTGACAGGTCACGCTTGTGCGTGATCATATAGGCGCTTTCTGAGCTGAAGAGGATATGGGATTCTGGACTTCTCCTCAGACAGGCTTATGGATGCGTCACCACATTGGAGACAGGAACAAGCGCAATTCAGCCAAAGTTTCATTATCAGGGAACATTTTCTAACTGATAAGTCTCTCTGAGAGACAGGGTTTGGATAACACTTGCTTCAGTGGGAGGAATCTTCCCGCATGGCTCTGGTTCTGTGACACGCTCCCTCCAAGCCCCTCTCCACATCTTCAGCTCGCTGTGCACCTTACGTGTGCGCTGACGGCGAGCTGAGCTGAGCACAATGTCCAGCTCAGATGTTCAGATGGGGATCTTTTGAGTGATTTAGCTGCATCTGCGATGTGCGTAACAAATAAAATATCAGTTTGTCTGCATGCGTCGGGGATAATTCTTTCTATTCTGTCTCTGTCAAAATAAACAGTTAAATACGGGAACTGTCCAGCAGAGGCGGATTTAGCAATTTGGGGGCCCAAGGCAAACACAGACATGGGGCCCCTTACACTAAATTTTCGACAATCTTACCTTTAACTGGATTTGCAAAACTCTCCCCTCTTCTCACGAGTTATTTTCCCTTTTTATTAGTCCTCCTCTTTTTTCCTGTATTTCCCTCCCTTTGAGCGCTTTCAATATTTGCTCTGCTTTCTTTTTCCTGTCAGTGCTCCAGTGCTTTAGACTTAGTTTTTTTTTCTATTTTCCATTTTGGTCTATGCTTTCCTCCCTTTAAACATTTTCCATTGTCTTTCCTGCTTCCTTTTGATGTCTTTCCTTTCTGCTTCCTTTTGATGTTTACATCGAAAAACGACGTCACTTTCAGAAGTTAAGATAAAAGCTTTTATGAAGCATGCTGCTTCTTTCACTTATTGGAGCCACTAGGATAACCATTTCATGCTTAATATTTTCGAACGCTCCTGCCTCTTCTCTTATTTGTGGTCTTATGGCACTTGGCAAACAACAATTTGGTGCATTACCACCACCAACTGGATTGGAGTGGAATGACTACCAATCACTTCCTGTTTGTGCATCGCTGTCTTAATAACCCTCTTATGACCATAATTATAACAGGGCCACCTGGTATGTTTTTTAATCTTATGGCTGTAAAATTGTAATAAAAAGTGCAAAGTGTGTGTAACCTCAGCTTTCAGTGTATGGTTTGTATTTAGAATTCATTTCTATTAAAACCTTTAAAAAATCAGCTTAAAAGTGAAAAAGGCAAAAAACGGACTTGAATTTTTTACATTTATTACTGAACATGAACTTCAAAATTACTGGGCAAACAATCTGGAATGAACAATTTAAACTTTGAACTGTAATGCATCTATTCTTAAAAAAGTTTTAACCTTGGTATCTTTTTTAGCAGTTTTAAGACCATTTATTTTTGTAAACTTTCAGACGTTTTTTTTTGATGTGGTAGACCTTTAAGCAGTTTCTCTCCAGCTGCAGGCAGAGCGCATCTCACACTGCCATGGGCTGCTTCTCTTGCACACCGTGCACTGCTATACCAAAAACTTGTTTTAGCAAAAATAATTATTTATTGTAAAAAGATAAATAATGCTGGAATGAAGCTGAATCTTACAATTAGCAAATAAATGAGGGTTGTTCAAATAAAAAAAATAAAGACGGAACAAACATTCATACCCTGGTTCACCAGAGATCTGTCCTTCTTCGTGGTCACTGTCTTCAGATATAAGCCTTCTGGGACACCTAATAGATCGTGTTGATTTTCTTTGAGGCATTTCCATAATTTCATGCAGGCTTTTTATGCTAATTAGCTTCCCCGGTCCGTTATCCGCTTTCACCGCGGCGCTGCACTTCGTTTCAATCAGGCTGTACAGCAGGATTTCCCCTCGTAGCGATATTGTCCATAACTCTGATTGCTTCATGCTATAGATCGCTGGAAAGCTGTTTATTATGTACTTTTAGGAACCGTTGGGATTTTTTGAATCTGATCAGCCATTCAAAAGTTATAAAACGGAGCATTCTGGATAACAAACTCAGCACGCCTCTGAATCAGTGTTGTGATTCGTTGCGCTCAAGACAGGGAATCCCGGTGGCTACCGTAATGTATTGCATATGCACAAAAAGCCCCATTTTTAATCTTTTCAGCACTTTTGGAATTTTAATGACATCTTGAACAGTTCAGGAATTATGGTAATGAGAAGTGCGCATGTCCAATCCCGTCTGCGGCGACAGATTGGTCATAAGAATATTGTGGCATTAACAGAGGGTTGCCGGCGGTCAGGGCTAGGGGCCCCCCCAACACAAGGGGGCCCCAGGCGGCCGCCGACTTATGCCTAATGGTAAAACTGCCTTTGCTGTCCAGTCAACACAAGCCCTGCTTTTAACTATTTTGTTTTCTTTTGAAAATTGTTGCAAAAAGATAAAATAAACTTGATAAACACCAGAGACAGGCGCACTCTGCCTTAATATCAGTCACTGTAAATGAGGGAAAAACAAATTGATTGGATCCTTTTCTTATCTTCCCCACCTACAAAGTTTAATTACAATAACCAAACGTGACAGAGCTAGGATTTGTATTCTGAACAGTTCAAACATGTTTTAAATAGAAACGTGTGACAAAAGTGGAACTTGCTCAGTAAAACCGCTAACAGGGTGAAAAATATCAAAATACTGTAGGCAGAGACGGGCTACAACTTCTGGATCCATTTTATATAGGGCTGCTCAATTAATCGAATTTTAATCACAATTACGATCTGAGTTTTGAACGATTATACAAACAAAACAAGCCGATTATTTGCTCCTCCCACTTGCGCTGCCCTGAGTTGCAAATGAAGCACTCCTCCCACAGTGTTGCCAACGTAGCGACTAGGACGCTATTTCCAACAGCTTTTCAGACCCCCTTCTTGACTTTTTAAATCTTAAAAGTACCTAGCGAACACCTCAGAAACATCTCTGGTAACCCTTAGCTACTTTCTGGATAACTGTCATGGACATTTCCTGCAGGTTAGCTAAACACTCCGCCTGCGCTCCGGACCGTTCTTCAGGACAATGGGAAAGGGAATGATGTAGTGATGTGTCAGTCGCTATAGAAACGGCTCTCAGAACCGGCTCCTTGTTGGAGTAACCAGAGTGAGTGACACACACCGTACTTGCGGGCTCCTGAGCCGCAAAAAACGGCTAAATATGCACGTGCGGCACGCTAAACACACATGCAGCTTGCTCCTGATTGCTGTGAGACTGGGTTGGGGGGTGTGTGCAGCTGTAGTTGGGACAATTATTACATTAACTGATGGACTTGTAAATAAATAGTTTATAAATAAGGTAGAAATAAGTTCATCACGCTGATAACTAATA